AATGGACGGGTACTTGATGTGGACATAGTATGTTCAATTCCATTAAAATGAAGTTTGGTTAACTTTTTGTTCTATTACATATGTGTGGCTTTTTTTTCTTTTTTTTGCCAAGTGCACTGATAGTTGTCTGTCTATGATTGTTTTCTACTACAACACTTTTGATCTTGGGAGTAATTGGAAATTATATATAATATATATAATATAATATATAAGCATCTGCAAGGGAGAGATTATATCTCCTTTTCATTAGACTTTGTATACAGCTATTTTTTTCAGCTTAGATACCCTTGTAGTAAACATTATATCTCAGAGAAGCTGTGTTCTTGCCAAAGTAAGCTTTATTTAAGGAGGTGTATATTTGCATTTTGGAGGAAGGTTGCAATTAAGACAGGAGCTTTTCACCTAGCCATAGCCATTTTTACTCTGCCTGTTCAGAGAAGAGAAATCAGATGGCTTTGTATGATACAGTTGTCTCATTTGGTAGCCCAATCTGAGAAGACATCAACTTTGGATTTCTTATCATTTCATTGAATGTCTTGGGTTGGAAGGAAGCTTAATAAAGATCATTCAGTTCCAACCTCTCTGTTGTGTGCAGGGTTGTCACCCACTGAATCAGGCACCAGCTCAGGCTGCCCAGGGCCCAATCCAGGCTGGCATTGAATGCCTTCTGGATGGGGACCCACAGCTTCTCTGGGCAGCCTATGCCAGTGCATCACCACTCTCTGAGTAAAGAATTTCCTACAAACAAACAACTATTCATGGTTGAAAACCATTCCCCTTTGTTCTATCATGATCGGGCTTTGTAAAAAGTCAGTCTGCCTCTTGTTTATACTTATTTCTTCTTAACATCTAACCTAAATTTCAACCCTTTCAGTTTAAAACCATTCCCTTTTGTCTTATCACTATCTGCTCATGTGAAAAGTCAGTCTCTCTGTTTATAAGCTGCCTTCGTTACTGGAAGGTTGCAGTGAGTTCTCTGCAGAGCCTTTTCTTCTCCACACGGAACAAACCCAGCTCCATCAGCCTTTCTTTGTGGTAGAGATGCTCCAGCCCTTCAGTCATCTTCCTGGCACTTTCTGGAGGGCCTCCAACAGCTCCATGTCTTATTGTTGCAATTGGTGTGAGATTCCACTGAAATGTAAGATGAAGGACACCTTTACACACTGTGTGTTTTGGAAACAGCTATAATGTACATCGTGGCTTAGTTTCATTGTGTTTGGGCTGTGTTAATTTTGAATGAAGGTCTGATCTCTGTGGAGGGCTTAGCAGGGAAGCGACAAGTTATATTTTCTCTGCAAAACTTTTGACGTCCTTTACGTGGTTCAGATAACTTCCTATGCCCATTAAAGCTTTGTGGAGTGCCATGCTGCAAACACACGTTATTGTAAATGAATATACATATATAATATTTTGCAATATACATATTGCTTATGCCACATAGCTTTATACTATATGTCCCATTCAGAAAAGAGTGTGTCTCATCCATTCTCAGTACTGCTTGTCTTTTTATCTGTTTTATCTTATCAGTCATCCTTCTTGTGTGTTTGCAGGATATCCTTCTTGTCTGCAGCATCTTGTGCTTGCCTTGTCTTGAAGCCTTTTATTCCTTGGAAGCAACCAGCTACACAGGTCTTTGCTCCTTTGGTCCCACTGTTCACATATCTACATAAAATGATTATTCACTGTGCCAGGCTTTGCCTTCAGACTGTTATGAAATACAGTATTTTACTGCACTTCTGCCTGAATCCAAAACAAAATAATATTTTTTTATATCCTGATTAACTTACAAAACTATACATTGCTGTACTTGGACAAGTGTCAGAAGTGCTCTCACAGTTTGGTTGCTCTTAACAGCAATGCTGTTAGGGAGAATGTGGTTTTGAAGGGGTCTGTTAATGTGTTAGCTTCCTCCGTCCTTGGTTCTGTTTGATTTTGTCTTACCTCTTTTTCCTCTGTCTTTCTGAAAACTACAGGTTTCTTATATGAGCCAGGTGAGCAATTCCACGCTATAG